TATATATATATATATATATATATATATATATATATACACATATACATATACATATACATATACATATATATACATATTTACATATATGTATGTATATCAGACCCCACCCTTATATTTACGTATAATGAAATAAGTGTTATATTTAAGGGTAATTCTCCCGAACACATTATTTGGTGTAATAATGAATATGGTGTATTTTTACCAATTACAAATAAGTTCAACAATGTCGAGAACAGATCTGCAAATATTATTGCTGAAAAGCTTGAAATGTTTAATTTCCATCATTAAAGTAACACAATGAATTGGAATAATTGATTACTTAATCCCATTTTTTCAAAAGACTATGATATTAACGTGTCTATGAGTAAAGACCCCTATTAATATGTGACAAGTATCATCCAGCTATTGAACTATCAGTTCCCAGAGGCTTCTTACATGATTATAAAAATATTAATTATGCAAATATGATGTATTTTCTTTATCACTACAATTAGAGTTCTCTATTAAAGTTGTATAGCCGCGATGACTTCTTAAATATTTATACATAGTACGGAGTTGCTCTACAGCTGTCGCCGTTTCTCCGCTCTCAGTCTCCATGCCTCTCTATTGGACCATAGATCATCTTGCAGTTCTCTTGCCGTCACAGCCTCTTGCACTCCCTGCTGCCATGCAAGTCTGAGTCTTCCTCTCTTCTGGCTTTCTATCGGCACCCATTGCAGGACTCGTTTTGACCATCTTTCGTCTGTCATTCGCATAACATGACCGAACCAGACAATATGTTTTTTCTCTATTTCGTCAAGGATAGATTTATTTTCATATTTCTTTTCATCCATTTTCCTTCTTATGTCGTCGTTCCCGATTCTGTCACTTCTGTTATAACAGCAACTTCTACGCCAGAAGTCCATTTCAAGGACCAGCAGCTTCCCTTTTGTTCTTTTACCAATCTGCCATTCTGAACCGTATGTTGTAACACTCTTAACTAGTAAGGAGTAAAGACGTATTTTCGTAGTGTTAGTTATGGTCGCATCTTCTGCAATTACTGCCTGGTCGTCGGCAAATTATAATGTATAGAATTTATCCTCTGCGATTGTCATTCCCATTGCTCTGCATTGTTTCTCCCACTGCTGTAAAATTTGATGCAGATATATTTTAAACAGTGTTGGGGAAAGACGAAGACCTTTACTGACTGGGGGTGGATTCGAGAACCTGCTGTAGATCTTAATCTGAGAGATGTTGTTCTTATATAGATTCTGTGTGACTCCAATTACATTTTCACTGATTTTAAGTCCATCCATTTCTTCCCGTACTCTAGCAACCGGAACATTGTCATACGCCTACTGAAGATCAGTGAAACCCAGATGAACTTCCACCTAACAGTAAATATTTTCTATGATATAATTCATAGTGCCATAGAATTATTTGCACCGAGAAATAGATATTTAATCCACCTATACTAGATGGTTATTAGTTATTTAATTCACACTATTGAATTAAAGAAAACGGCCCATATATAGTTTAAAAAATCACGTCTCTTGGGAGATTGCTAAGATCCCAATCGTAAGTTATTATTGATCGCGACTATCGCAAATGCTTAAAAGATATTGAAACATCTATTTGTGGCAATACAAAGACCTTTTGTAGTTATGTTCATTTCTAAAAGAAATTTGAAACAATACCTAATTTGATCACTTATGACAAATAACGCCATCATTCAAATATTTGCAAATGCCAACTTAGCATCAAGTAGAAACGAATTTACATGGAGAATTGGATACAGAATGGCATCCTTAAGTATTAACATCCCTTGGAATTGAAAACTTTTTCTTGAAACGGGTAATAAACCCAACGTACTGAACAGTCTTCTATCATAGATATAAATTGCACATTTTCTCAAGGTTCCAATTATCCCTCTTACGAGGATGTCTCTCTAACATTATTATTGATATTGTGCCATGCATTTGTGGAAAATAATTCTCCTTAGTGTGTTCGTTGCCTAAATTGTTTACTTCGGATGCTAATATATTTTTGCTCTTAATAGATCATGATAATAAAAATATGTTTTTATAGTTTCTTTCGGTAAGATTAGTATATCATGATTTCCTATAACATCCACATTCATTTTCCTTTCGTCGTGGTGCAAAGAATTCGACAGAGTATGTTTATGTCTCCTGTGAGTAAATCTCCCCTTGCGTGGGATCGTAAGTGACACTTGAGTATGATATGCAGCCCAATATAACAATATAACAAATTCCTTTTCTATTTATTTCTTGATCGTTTGGGTGCAGAGATTCACCATCCGAAGTCCTAAAGCCCGTCGTAAAGTCCACCATCTTATACAAGAATACCCCTTTTTATGGCCGGTTTAAAAAGTGTCGTATCTTGCTTGTTAATATCTCGCGAGCCTCACCTGGCTGGGGTGGGTGTCAAGGTGAAGTGGAGGATTTT